GTCAGCGGCCGGGGTTCCCCGGAGCGCCGTGCTCCGGTGTTCAGCCCGCGTACCGCGCCGAGCCCCCGCCGCTGACGTCGTTTGTTTTCCCAGGCTCGAGATCGGCGACGCTGACTTCGTTGCGCTCTGCGATGCGCTGAAAGTGCCGGAGAGCGTGAGGGAGAGAGCGTGGAAGACCTACGAGAGCCTGTCGGCTGCGGATGGGGCTCTGGTGAGTACCCGCTGCCTGTAACTCGGAGCTCTGCTGCGGCGCCTCTGCTGCGCCCGGGCTGAGATAATTTGGCTGTAACTTTGCTGGGCCGAGGGCCAAGTGTCTCCCCACCGAGCCTTGTGCACTGGGACTCTGCTGGTTCCCAGCACGGGTAGACTCGAGTTGGGTGTTGCCATGTGCATGCCTGTACAGCCTGATACCTGTATGTTTTTCAGTAAAGGTATGGATCTAAGAATTATTTTAACAAATGACTTTAGCAAACAACACCGTGTGATCAGCTAATTCTTCAAACCACAAGTTATTCCAGATATGTCTGAGTCAGCTTTATATGGGTCACCTTATTGTGTGTTTCTGTGTCTTTCTTCCTGATGCATCCTTTTTTATGAGCCTGCAGAGCAGGGTCTGGAGAAGACTGCTGCAGAGAAAGGGGTGTTTGTAGGCTGAACTTTTTTCCTGCTGCAAGATGTTAATCTGTGTGTAGTTACCATTGAGGTATTTCCGTTCAAGGCTCGTCACTGGGCATGTGTAAACAGATGAAAATGTGGTGCCCTTTCCTGATTTTTCCCTCCTGCTTCTTCTCAGTATGTTACTGCTGACTAAGGGAAATCTAAAATATGATTAAATCATAACCAAAGCTTTGTTATACAGCCCTGGTTCAATTTAAAATCCCTAGCTGGGGTGTTATTCCCACTGTGTGGGCTAGCATCCATCTGTTTGCTGTGACTTCTTACTCTGCAGTTTGAGCTGAGCTCCCACAGCTCTGCTCTCACTAGTAATACCTTGTTGTCTGTGGTTTTCAAACACCAGTATGGGTGTGCCAGCTCTGGATGCATTTGAGCTTCACTGTACAACACAGTAACAGTGTGGAAGTGAGACTGTGCAGCTCTTTCAGTAACAGGCACAGTTTCTGGCCCTGGGGGTTCCCAGGAAGCAGGTCCTTGGGCATGGTTGTTCTCCTTCATGTGAACTGAAACAGTCAGTTCTACTGAGTGGGGAAAAACAAAGCAGGTTTTAGTGGAATTCTGCAAATTCCACATTTTCTTTTCACTGATCATTACGTATCAGTGGCCAGAGACAAGGCACTGGCAGCTTTTTGGGCATCTGAAGGTGACTCCCTTCACCTTTTCAGAAGAGAGCGGTGACTAGATCTTCATTATGGTGTATAGCTGATGTCCTGAGGGGACTCTCCAGGAGCTGTCCTGCAGGCATCAGCTGTGCACATTTTCACTGATGTGGTTCAGCTTTATTTTATTGACTTGTTCAGTTCTGAACTGGAACAGAAGCTGCTTATGTAGCAGCTTTCTGTTCTCAGGCATATGGGGAAATAGCAGGACACCAGCTGGGACAAATATCTACCAGAACACTTCTGTTTAACCCTGTAGTAGGTTTGACTTCAAGCTGAAGTCCTCAGACCACTGATGGACATCTCAAGCAGTTTGCAGACCATAAAGACTTGAAACCTTCACTTTCTCTGGCACACTGGCCTTGTTCTTTGTGTTTGATCTCAGACTTGTGGCTGCCAAGCCTCTGAGGATGTGGAGGAGACATGTAATGCTAACTAGGAAGTGGTGTGGCCCAGACATAAGGTACTGTGGTAACTGGCAGAGGTTCAGGGTGTAAATGTGGGCTTGGACCCTGTCTGAGCACCTGCTGTATCCTTGCTCAGTGAATATTTAGTAACTCAGTGGAAACATCTCTGAGTACTGTCCTTTTTGGGCCACTTAGGGTCCATGGAAACGTGTGCAAAGAAACCCTGCAAACAAGGCATATGCACCTTACAAGTACAAAGCAGTTATTTTTTGGCACACAGATGGCTGGTAGGATGTAGTGACCTGTCAGCCTGAGTGTCCCTGCACTTCACTGAGACCCCTGAAGAGCCTTTGCTGGCAGGGCAGGTGTCAGTCAGGAGGAGAAGGGTGTTGGTGTCTGCTGTGCCCTGGAATGAGTCCTCTGAGCCAACACCTGCTGAAGGCACCAGCACCCCCAAAACTGGCTGGCTCCTTGCTTTTCTCCTTCAGGATGTCACAAGTTTCCACACTGATACCTTCTGCTTTTCAGTCTGAGCTACTGATGATCTTATTTCTCTCTGAAGTTTTACATTCCTTATTTTGCATAGCTCTGCACTGTAGATTTCCTTACTGTGCTCTCAACTTCCCTGTTTCTGCAGCAATTTGAGTGAAGGATACATGCTGGCTCCAGAACTGTTGCACTGAATCAGCACTGCTGGGGTGTGGTGTCAAGGGAGGTACCTGATGCATGGTCAGGAAAATGTTCTGGTTTTAAATTTTCTATATCTGCTGAATTCTCACACAAGTTTATTGTAAACATGGAAATATAAATACAAATAACAGCTTTTACATTAGTGCCATACAAAGACTTTTGCTCTTTCTAGAATTCATCTGATTTACCAAACCAAGCTACCTAGGTAAACAAAATGTTCATTTGAGGGTTTAGTCTTAATTTCAAATCTTTTGCACACTGACAGTTGTTGGCTTGATAATTGGCTCTGGTGCTTGCTTCTCCTGTACTCTTAATTTTTTGTAACTGTCCTTAAATCTGTGTTATAAATCAATAGTGCCTGTAGACTCTAGATGGAGTAAATAGTTTTAGTGGAATTCCTACTGCACTTTGGTGAGCAGTATGTGGTTATTGGTGTAAGAAAGATTAGGAAAGGTCCAGGAAGCCATGCTAGAACTGTTAAGAAAAAAAAACTTCAGGGCATTTTTGTTCTGCTGCTGTTTGCTTTGGTGAAGGCCAACAAAATGAGCATCTAAAGTAGAATGTGGGGTGATGTGAGTAGGGAGGAGAAACCTGAGTGAATTATAGCTCAATATATTGGAAAGAACAGATGTGAGGAACAGATGAAATGGTGATTCCCTGGTTGGTTTTATCAAATATCTGTCTAGCCTGCTATTAAAAAACTTTGATGGAAGATTTGCACTCTGCATAGTTAGTCCTTTCTAGCTGAACTTTCTTTGCCCATGATTTTGTACTGCACCAGTCTGTTTCTGTGTTATACTTCAAGCCAGTTGTGATTATTCTGTACCTCATGGATGTGAGAATGTATTATTGCTGCATTTGGGTTTTTTTCCCCCCTCACAAAGCCTGTAGCATCTGCAGGTATTTTTGTCATCATTCCTTGTTTCTAAATTATAATCTTACATTCTGAAATCCTCTCTGACTGGTGACTTACATGAGTATGAAGATGCTACAGAGCACTTGGTTTGCACAAGAGTTCAACTATGTTCTTGGTGGAGAAAGATGAATTGTAGTTTAAGTGGAGGAATGAAACAAGGAGTTTTTAAATGTTGCAAGGTTGCTCTGTATAGACCAAAAGTTAGTGGTTGGCAGGTCAAATGCTTCAAATCTGTAAAATTTCACTTTAAATTATATTTGTTCCTTTTGATTGTAGTTTCTTATGAAAAAGAAAATACTGTAGTTGGTAAACTACCTTGTCCTCATGTCAGAAGACATGCAGAGGTTTCTTGCTTTTGGCAAAAGCATGAAGCACATGGGAGCTAATAAAATCTTTCCTGTCTAGAGCTTTGTCTCTTATATAACTGCAGCTAAACTGAACCTGGATCCACCAAAGCTTTGGATGGATGAGCAGAATCGTGGCTGTTGTAGGGTCAAAACAAAAAGCTCAAAAGAGCTACTGAAAGTTGCCAAGTGGCCTCTTGCTGGTGATAGTATTTTAGCAGCAGAGATATTGCATGTATATGTTGTGCCCCTGTTCTTTGAAAGCATAGCTGTCAGTTCTGTTAATTCTGATCAGTTTTCTATTGTGGATGCTTCTTGGTTCTTTTTCCCTGCCATCTTCCTCCCCTCTTATCACGAATGTACCTGGGAGTGTTTCTTGTATCATCTAGCTAGTTCTCTATCCTAATTAGGATGTGGTGGCTGAGATTTTAGCCAATAATTCCACATCTTCCCCTTCAGAAACCAGGGTTTTGGGATTCGCAGTGTGGAATCCTAGATCCCATTTGATTCCAGTACCCATCTGTGTTTGCATATTTCTCACGTCCATTTCTCTTGACCTCCTTTTACACAACATCCTTTGAAGTTTCTATTCCTGGGTCCCTTTGGTTGCCTGTCATCAAAACTGTGAGTGGTGCTGGCAGAATAATAAACAGCTCTAGCTGCAGACTAGGACTGAGACTTCCTGTGACTGTCTCCTTGTGACTGGTTCAGCACTGCAGAACCTCTTAAGGTGGAGAAGAGAAGTTATTTCTGTTAGTGCCTTGAACACCTTGCAACATTTGGAGAGAAAAGAGGCAAAAAACCCATTTCACAATGGTTCTGTTTGAGTATTTTTGAGCTTATGGCTCCTCCAGGTTGTTTTCACTAGATTTAGGCAAACTGATGATCTACTAAAAATCAATTAAAGAATAAGAAGTCCAGAATGAGAATTAAGTATTTTGAAAAATTTTGTAAGAGTTTTAGATCTTTTCCTACAGAAAACTTTTGAATTTGTCTTGTATCTATTCCCATGCCCTCAAGATGACTTTTCATCTCAGATGTGTCATCTGGCTTTGGCTCTAAACAAACTGTTAATTTATGTCATAGGATTGGCTCCCCTGGAGTTGCAACACTGCCCCAATAGTTGAATGGAGTGATGCTGCTGCATTTTTGTTCAGCACTCAGCTTTAACTCATTCTTGTAGGAAAGACCTTGAAAAATGTCTGTGAGCTTTGGGAGGAGGAAGGTTTATGAGGAGGAGAATACTCAGAAGTCTGATGTGACCTCTCTGTATCCTGTCACCCCTTCTACCCTGTGGTGTTTGTAAATAAAATGCATAAAATATGTAATTACTAAAGTCCTCATGCATGGGTGTGGGCAGATAGTCTTATTTTTGGAGGAAACTGCAGTTTACCTACATCTTTGGGTATTTTAACCAGCATTAGCTGGTGGGGTAGTTGCAGGCCACTGTTCTTTGATGTTTTCCTCTCCTTCTTCACACAGTTGGTGTTGAGGTGGGTGTGCTCAGGTGCTGCTCACCTTTTTTTTGCTATTAGAAAAAAAATCATAGTGTATTTCTTTTCTGTGTGTTGTATTTTGGGTTCTGTCTAATGTTTTTTGTTAGGCTAGCAGTCGTCCAACATCTGTCTGGTTGAGGAGAAGGTGCCCAAAGCATCTTGCAACACCAGGAATAGATGTGATGGGTGTCTTGATATTAGAGTTTGACTCACTGCAGTGGTTTGAATCTTGGGGATTGAGAGGCTGCTTCTGAAGCTGCCATCTTCTTTAATGGTAGAAATGAATGAGTTGTTACCCTCAGTCATACTGGATAAGGATTTTAAAGGTTGTTTCTGCCAAACCAGACCTCACTCTTACCAAATATACCATTGCTGTAGCCTTCCAAGCATTCATCCTTTTGGAGTGGAGCTAAGCTGCCTGGGATTGGCAGCTTGTTTGGATAGGCAGCAAATCTGGATCATTTTCACCACTTTAGGAAGTGGTCTTGCCTCCCTATGTGAGGTTTTATTTACAGAACAACATCATGGTCTGAGTTTGCCAGACCATGAAGTGAAGAGAACTTATTTATTAAACAAGGTCAGCTGTGGTGTCCTTGGTGAGTACTCATCCTTCTTAAACAAAGAGATAGTGACTATTTGGTATTAATATCCCTCTCTTTATGTATCATCAAATGCATCTCAGTCTGTTAATAGCTTCTTTCAAACTAATTTCCTGTTGTAGGAGGTGTCATGACTCACAGAAATGCTCAAATAGGAATGCAAGAGGAAGGTAGTAACTGAAAGAATGGACAGTTGCCATGGTGTTGAAGGTGGCTGGGTACTTTAGCATTCAAGCCTGGACTAAAACTCTTCTGAACTGTACAGACCAGTGAAACATTTCATTTGGAGGAGGCCCCAGGCAGTCTTCATGGATGTATGAAGACTGGTCCAAGAAAGAAGCAGAGCAGTTGCAGTAAGCCCCATGTTTCCTTGTTGGCAGTGTTAGTGAACTTGTTGCTGAAATGATTGTTGACAGCATTTTTGGGCACAGCAGGTGATGTGTCATGGTTACTCTGTGGAGTAAGTGAGGACACGAATGGGTGCTGAGGATGCAGAGCCTTTTGGGGGTAGTTTTGGAAGACCACAGAAGATGGAGGGAGCCAGGCCAGGATCAGTCTTATTCCTGTTGCCTTTTGAGAGTGTTTTCTAGAAGGAGCTGGGCTGGGAGGCAGCTAGCTGGAGCAACTGGGGAAAGGATAAAAAATAGGCCAAGGAGTGGGCTAAAACTAGGCAGTGGAGAAGAGAGAGTGTTTTCTAGAAGGAGCTGGGCTGGGAGGCAGCTAGCTGGAGCAACTGGGGAAAGGATAAAAGAAGTAGGCCAAGGAGTGGGCTAAAACTAGGAGAAGAGCAGGAGTTTGGTATTTCAGCTCACTGGCTCCAGGGTTCTCTTTCACCTCTGTCCTCTAACAGATCCAACCTAGAGGTGCTGAGAGATGGGCTCAATTATCACTCCTTTCCTGAAGCAACTGCAGGCCTGGGTGGCACTGAAGATTTATTTACAAGGATGCCAGATGCTCAAAGAGTATTTTATGAGTCTGGTGTTTTAGGACTCTTGCAGAATTGTACATACCCACACCTTCTTTGTCTTCAAGATACCACAGGTTTTAGAAACAAGGCTATACCTGCTGAAGTGTTTTTTTATTCTATGCTTCTGCAAAATGTTGCTCTTGAGAGGTGTTTTGCTGAGGTGCTGTGTTGGTGGAAGACAAGTGGAATCACCTCCATGTGGATGGCATGTCTGTCAAAAATTGACCTTGGACTTTAGGAGTAAGGGTTGAAGTGCCTGGTCTTTCATCTGTAATGTGAAATGTGTAAAGGTTTTCACCCATTAAATAATTGGCTACCATTAGTCATGTGTTTGATTAGAGAGAGTTTTGTTTTACCATTTCTAATCTAGTTTGGATAAATTAATGCTGTCCATGTGTTGCCTGCTTCTACTGCACAATAAAAACTTTTCTCTTTTTCCAAAAGGCTTCCAATAAAAAGAAAAAAGAAACCTGGGGAGTCTGTATCTTTATTGCAGCAGTTGATCTGGATGAAATGACATTCACTTTCACAGAACTCCTGAAAAGTATAAGGATAAGGTAAGTGAATTTAGATTGGTGAATTTAGATTTCAACAATTAACTAGTCAACGTTTCTATAAAGAGAATGTTTCTAAACCCTTGTGAATCTTTGTGCATATCAGGCTTATTGATTTTAAAGTGAAGGTTACTTCTGGGAATTCTGAATATTTGGGTAAACTAGGAGACTTGTACCATATCTTAGTTGAATTATAAGATATATAGTTACATATTGTATATATACTAGTTATATCTAGCTCTCTATATATTAGTTATATAGATGGTTAGATATATTCTCTAAGCTCATGACACAGTAATGAAGAGATTAGGGCAGTATCTGCTTTTTAAGGTAAATTTAGTAGTAGGCATACCTTGTGTTAGGCTCATCTAAAGGCAGAGTTCCAGTGCCATGTGCCTGAAGGGTGCTGTGCATCCAGAGCTTGTGCAGGGGCAGAGCCTTCCAGGGCAGGAGGATAACACTGAACACTGGGCACACCATGGTGGTAGCCCCAGACTTGGGCCAGAAGATCCTTTCCCTGGAAATCATCTGTTGTGATTAGGCTTCTCCATGCCTCTTCCACCTTGCATTGTCTCCCAGAGCAGTGGTCATGTCCTGTGTATTGACTTAATCTCTTCAGTCTTGACTGACCTGGAGCCATGTGGATGAAATCTCATTGCATTTGTGCAGCAATGTTCAGTCTGTTCCTCCCAAATCCAGACCAGCTTGTGCTGCAGACTGAAAGAGGCTTTATCCCTTAGGCTTTCAAAGAGTCTGCTCATGTTGCTTTTAGCAGTCCTCAATTGCTTGTTAGCCCTGGGCTTTTTGTCAGCTAAGAAGTCAAACAGGCAGAGACTTCTACCAGTTATCATATCCTCAAGAGACACAGAAATAGATGGAAGGATTTCTCATTCCATAAAATGAATCACTAAACTAACTTCTGACTGGTTTTATGTTCTATTTTTTTAATCTTACAAAGATAAAAAAAGTTTCTCTGAATGCTAAATTCTGATAATGGGTCAAAATATGTTTAATATGGTTGAAATAGTGGAATATAATGGATTGCTGAAAATTAATGAGGAGGCTGTCTGCTTATTTTGGTTCTAAACCTAATATTATGCTTTTTTGATGGCCATAACATTACATGGGTGAGTAGGGAAAACTTTGATCCCTGATAGATTTCCCAAAGGTGGGGATGTCCTTGCCCCTGGGACTGGTTGCAAGACTCCATATAATTGGATGCATTCATCTCTGTTTTCATTCCTAGGTCTCTCCTTAGCATGGATGGAGCCAAGGTTCATGTTCTTAGAGTAGCAACAACATTTCTAAAGTAGAACTTTTAGGTAGGACAGAAGAGTTGGGATGTCTGTGTTGGATGTTTGTGGCTTTACTAGCAGAGCTTATTTGCTTTTTTTAAGAGCTCTTTCAAAATCCTCACTCTCAGAATTACAATAATCTGTCTTTTCTCTTTTTTTTTCCTCAGTGTATGCACATTTTTTCAGTTTCTGAAAGAGGTGGATGTTAACATGGACACTGTAAGCACTAAAGTTGATAGCACTGTATCAAGGCTGAAGAAGAAATATGATGTCTTATTTGCACTATACCACAAGTTTGAAAGGTAGTACATGTTTTTCATTTTGAAATTATGAATTCTTTGTGGCTGTCAACCCTTAAGTATTTAGATTTTTCAAACTGTGCATTAGAAGAGCCCATTTAAACACTGTGCTAATATTTACAGAACAGGGAAGTGGAACTGTTTACATGTACTGAATAAACACATCTTACATTTTACTGCCTAAGTATTACAATGATTTGTTAAACAATCCCTTTGTGCAGTATAAACAATAGTAAGGGTAGCATGACAAGTGGTTGCCAGTCCCTTCATTAAACTTGTTAGATATGAAGAGGATTATTTTACTACCTAGTATTATTTTTTTGCTTAATGGACATTTAATCTTTCTATTTCTACCTTCCTACCCCTCCCCAAAGACTGATCCAAGAGTTTCTTTCTAAGGAGATTTGGAAGTAAAAAAAACCCTAGTATGTGGTAGGATAGATGCATATGGGCAAGGTGTGATAGCCTCTGAAGCAATTTTTAATAGGTCTGTGAAGTTCTCATTAAACATTGAAGCAACATTCCATGCTGCTTGTATGGATACCATTGCTCCAGAATGCTCTGGTATTTTTCATCTACAGGACTTAAGCCACTAACATTTTACCTCTCAAACCACAAAAAAACTCAAATATGCCTTAAATGACCTTTGAAAAGGGAGGTAGCAGCTCACCTCTTGGTAGTTTATAGAGTCAAGGCATAAATGTGATAAACTTTCTTTTGATAGCCCAATCAATCACACTGAACATTATCCTGGGTTTATAGTTGCTGTAAAGCTATAAAGTTCTCTGAAAGTTGTAAATATTTTGGTTCCAGTAATTGAAAGTCTTCTGGGCTATAAAAGTGTCACTGCAGATTCACACAGGCATGTTTTTGGTTTTTGTCCTCTGACTTCTTCACTTGCTTTTTTGAAAATTTCAGTAACAATTTTTTTTCCAGCAGGATTTGAAAGGTCTTTTTCTTTCCTCTTGTTTTTGAATAAACTGAATTTATTTCTTGAACTGACAAGTACCTGGAATGATTAGGAAGCAGCATTACACCATAAGGCTTGCAGTGACACTGGAGAAATAGTAAAAGTCTAAAATTCACTTTTATAGAGTGTTGTGCACAGCTGCAGCACATCCTTGGCTGGTTTTTACAAGCCACTGAGTAACAGTGTACATACAAATCTTATCTTTCTGGAAGAAAATGGTGACAAATTTTATTACATCAAATTAAAAATAAGTTTTGCTGTTTAAGCTTTGACATAATCACACAAGCAACAGCATGATTTCAGCTCTGGCAGGGCTGTAGTTGGTCTGTTGTTAATCTGTTCTCCAAGAGGCAGCATTTTTTTAAGGTTAGAATGATGTGTTGTGAACTGGCATGGTTTTTACTACATTGAACTCAAAGTTATTCCAGAATTTGCTTTCAGAAAAGTGTTAATAAGAATTTATTTTTGTTTTCTAGGACTTGTGGCCTTATTTATGTGGAACAACCTAGTAGTGAGTAAGTTTGACTTTCCTAGATTGCATTTGTCAAGGTCAGATGCAAAACATGTCAGCATTTTATCTTTTAACCTATTAGGGTTGGCCTAAGTCATAGTATGTCATGTGTTTCATGTAGTTTTAGTGGGTACTCCCAAATTGTTCATGCTGTGACTACAGGGTGGAGGATTTGTCAAGGGCATGAGAGAAAATAACAGTTAAGAGAATTACCTACATTCACTTTCTTTCCCAAGGATGAAGGGCTTTGACAGAGCCTTATTTTTTTCATCTGTGTAGTTATAATCATGTAGGGAATAGAATGAGATCATTAATAGGCTTAATGATACAGGAAATGTTGCATGTTGTCTTGAGTTGTTCCATAGACTGAAGCATGTTTTCAGAAATTACAGCTTAAATTATTACAGAGCTCTTAATGAGAAGTCTTCATTTTCCTGCCTCTACAGGATTTCTGCTGAACTCAGTTCTGTATTAGCCCCAAAAAATTACTGGATTACTTTTTTGCTGGCAAAAGGTGAGTTTTGGTTAAAAGACAGTTATTTTTATGAACACTATTGAAGTGAGTTTATGGATTAGATTTACCTGTCCAGTATGAGACTACAACCCTATTAAATATACACATAGTGCAGGCCCAGAATGTTTTGATGCATGGCTTTTGTAACTATCCAGTAATATTTCTTTTTATGCAATTTGGCTGTTCTTTTCATTGCTATTACTTCCTGTATGTAAATACAGGATATTTATTTTTAAGCTTTCTAAGATTTTTGTACTTTAAAGGGTGGTATTCTGTATTTGAGTCTATTCTGATTTTTAAAAACAGGCTTGTATTTAAAATAAATAAAATAAATTTAATAAGCTATTATTATAAGATAATAAATAAAGCTGAGAATACAGTGTATTAGCACATTTTGAATTTCTCTTCATGGTATTGTAGCAACTCCTGCTTTCTGAATATTTTGCAGCTTTTGCAAAGCTGGTGTAAGACCACAGATAAGAAAGTAAGGAAGCATGGCAGAGAAATAAGAGGTGCATGTAGGTAAAATTGCCTACACAGTTACTCCACTATAGTAAAATGACAAAAAAAATATGAAGGAGCACTGAGAGGTAGGAATTTTGTGCACAGTGAGTTTATATGTATGCTGTCTCTAAAGCAAGAAACCTTCAGAACCATGATTTTGAAAATCAATAGCCTTTAAAGAACACTGGCATCCTTCATGATGCTTTTTTAAATTCTAATTGTAGTAATTTATGAAACAAACTTCAAAATCTTTATTTTTTTTTCAGAATTATTTTGAAAATGAAGTCAAAACACCTCACAAAGGTTTTCTTTACCTTTTACCTTTAAATGTTTGCAGGTAAAGTGTTGCAAGTGGAAGATGACCTGGTGATTTCCTTCCAGTTGTTGCTGTGTGTCTTAGATTATTTTATCAAACTGTCACCTCCTGCTATGCTCAAGGAACCATACAGTAAGGGTTTTAGGTTTTTTTTGTTCACTTAAGTAGAAAGTAAATGGATTCACATTTCTATTACAGTCATGTTAACATTCATAATTAACATAAAACTTCTTAAGCATATTAAAATGGATTTTTTTTTTTTTAGTATTGTAGTTCAATTTAGATTATGGTGAACTTTAATTAAATTATCTGAATGTGGCAGTGTATTTAATGATTTTTTTTTTTCCTATTCCTACTACCCATCTGCTGTGTCCTCTGCCCATAGAAGTTTCCAGGGGCTTGGTAAAACAGCAGTTGGTAAAGGGATACAGGTTCTGGGTGGCTGATGACTGAGTACTGTTATTTAGGTTTGCTTTGAGTTACAAAAGGAAAAGATGGTGCTGTGACTCTTATTTCATTGACATACAACAGTATGATGACAACAGAAATGTAGAAGATATTGGACTACATAGATGTTTAAAAGAAATATGTGGTGGATAGAAAACCTAACTGCAGTGGTAGATTGAAATAAAAAGGTGGAGATAAAATGTAGATAGCTTTGCTTTAATTACATCCCCTTTGTTATTGGCAAGTGTCTCTATTTCAAGTAAAAGTATAATGAGTCTTTGCTACAGAGACTTCTGTTCAGCAGTCACCTTTTGTACTTTCAGTTCTTAGACCCAAAACCTAGAAAACCTCACTAAAAAGGCTGAGAGAGTAAGCATTATTTCTTTGTTTCACAACTAAATATCCACTTGGGTTAAAATGTCATGGAATAGATGGTGTATTTGCTGCAATAGTCACAAAATTCTGTTTTGGAGGATATTTGACCTAGTAATTGGTGCAGGTAAGAACAAATAACTTTGCTGATATTCTCATGCCAGTACAAATAAAGGGTGAGAGAGGATGGGCTTGTGACAAGCAAACCTCTGGCCTCATCCAGTACCATTTTGAATTTAAATTTGTCCTTCATAATAGGACAGACATCTGCTACTGCTTATTTCAGATAAGAAATAAGAACACTGAGTTACCTGAATTTAAACTGTGTTCACTTTGTTTTTTCTCTATGAAAACCAGGAATTCATCATTAGAGAAACAGTTTGATTCTTGCATTGTCTCTTAAAAGAAATGCTGCCACTTCAGGCTAAATTGCAAACATGGGTTTTGCTGTCCTAAGTGTGAAGTGTTGGATTTGTCACTTGGAGCTGCGTGCAGGTGTTGTGTCAGCTGTCAAACAGTGCTTCATTCTTGCAGCAAATAACAGGGTTTTGTTCAAATCCTCGTGACCAAGAGGCCTCACGTCGTGCTAAATGGTGTCAGGCTTTATGGGCTGAATACAGCTGAGGGGATTAAGATGCAGCAGTGGAGTTTGTCAGATTTTCTCAGAACAGTTATCAAATAAATGAAATTAGAGATGAGAACAGCGTGCTGATTAGAGTGTCAGTTTTAAACCAACAGTTAATGATATTAACATCTGTTATTAATACAACTCACACATTGCAAGCTGACAATATTGAAGCCATCTGCTTTGAGGCAAAAAGAAACAACATTTCTTTGAACAAAATGAAATGTTTTTGCCTCACTGAATTCATTTTTTTGGATAGCTTTTTGAAGGTTAACTTGTTTGTTCCTACCTGTTTGTGTGTGGGTATTTGGGGAAAGGAGCAATTCCCTGCAGCACCATATTCTGGGTTCCCCCCAGCACTTGTGCTCTTACTTTTTGTGTACAATAGCTTTTTAAAAGCAAAATGTCCAAATATTGATACAGGAATTTAAAAATTAGTTTTCTTGTTGTATATATTTCCTGTTATGATGGTTTTTCACCCAGCCGAAGAGATGAAAAGGGAAATATTTAAGAAGAGGACCTGAAAAATCATATAAAAAAAATTAAATGTCTTTACACTTAAAAATTTAAATGCCTTTAGGCTTAAAAATTTAAACTTTTTCTTAAGATTACTCTAACCTTATGGTGGTTCTGACTATCTTTCCAGAGTCTGCTGTTTCTGCAGTGACTGTTAATGGTTCAGCTCGAACTCCAAGAAGAGGTCAGAACAGGAATACACGTACTTCAAAGCAAACTGATGCTGAGACAAAAGTCATTGAAATCCTTTGTAAAGAGCATGATTGTAATTTAGATGAGGTAATGCCTGTGTTTTAAAGTTTATTCCATCTTGCTGCTAAACCTCAACAGGAATATGCTTTTATTTAAATGGATTTTAAAAAAATTTCACTAGTTGTGCTTGCTGAACTATTCCCTCAAGTTCAGTAATGAAAGTATTCTACCTTTCTGTGTTTTCTCTAGTAGGTGGTTTAAAAAAAAACCCAAACAAATTGAAGCCCTTTGGTATGGGTGATAACTTCCCCAGGGAAACTGAGCTGTGAAAGAATCCAATATAAGGTTATATGCTGATCACAGCATGTAGTGTGTGGACACAAGGCTGTTGTGATGGAGCTGCGTCCCACGAGGAGAAAATGTACCCAACAAGCACATTGCTTCTGTGTGGGGTCTTAAAAGACCCTGTTCCTCTTTTCCTTTGCTGATAGAGCTATTCCTGTCTAAAAAGGACTGATGTTTTTTATTGAATATCTAAGCAGATGATGGAAGTAGAAATACATGAGGGCTGGGAAGAGTGCAGTTCTTTCCCAATTCATTAATTTCCTTTTCCAGCAATGGACTAAGTGCTGAATGCTTAGATATCAATACATTTTAGTAGTTATATAAAATGTTTCAGTTGTCAATAATTGAAAATTAAACACCATGCATTACAGAATTACATGTCTGCCTCTGTATATTGCTAATGTGATTTTTTTTTCTTTTATTTAGGTCAAAAATCTGTATTTCACAAGCTTTATTCCTTTCTTGAATTCGATTGGTATTGTAGCTTCAAATGGACTACCAGAGGTAATTTAAGACAGTTCAACAACAGTGATTTGTTTCATGCTAAATTACTCAAGATTCTCTTTACACATTGATGAAGTTCTAATAGGTTGCTCTGAAATTGTCTAGATTTTTTTCTTTTTTGGAACATGGCTTAGCAGGTATTCAGTATTCATGGAGTAATTTACCTTTTACATTGGCATTTAATAAGTTAATTTCCTGAGGCTGAACCAGTGCTTTTGCTCAAAGCAAAACACGACATGAGAGTTGCACATCCATCATCTTAGGGAGACCACTGATCTAAACTACAACTATTACCATATCAGGTCTCTGTACAGTCTTAAATTACACACCTTAATTTATACAATTGAGACATGTTACTGTATTCCTGTTGGAGAAATACCCAAAGGATTAGGCTTAGTTACACAACTGGCAGAGTTTGGACTGCTGCGTCCATGCAGAATTACTTTCATTGAATCACTTTGGTTGGAAAAGGCCTTTAAGATCACCATCCTCACAACCTCAAAGTTACTTTGGGTCTTGACCTTTGTCTTCAAACCAGCAGAGACTGGGACCTAGTGGGTTGTCTGGCAGCTGTTCCAAGGACACTCAAGCTACATTTCCTGCTCTTAAGAAACACTTCTTTTCTTCTGGAAGGAAAGATTTAAAAGCCTGGAAGCATTTGTTGGACTTGCATGTGTTTCCCACTATAGCTATTTTTAGCTATTCTACAGTGTCAAGACCTACATATCTTCAAAAAAAGTCTTGTGAGCTTAGATTGTTTTCTCTTCTAAAAGATTATCTTTCTTTGTGCGTGGGAACAATGATTTTACTCTGGGTATGTTTCAGCTGTTTGTATAAGAAGTGATTTAGTGAGCTCCAAGGTCATTCTCTCAGCATTTCAGCACTGTATTCATGAGGTGTAGGACTAGCTTATATTACTAAGTAAATTGTCAAACTTGTTTTTATTAAATAAAGGGTTTTTTTCTGATTTTTTGAGGTTGAGGTTCTCTCAAAAAAGTATGACGAGCTGTATCTCAACAACAAAGATATAGATGCAAGATTATTTCTGGATCATGATGAAACTCTACAGCCTGATGTCATAGCAGGGTAATATTTCCATTTCCTGCTTTTATTTTATTATAGAAAGTGTGAACTTCTGTTGATTTCTCCCTCTGCCTCCCTGCTGTGTGTTTATTCTAAATAGAGATCTCTGCATTCTGTTGATCTCCTACATTTGTAGTTCAGCTAAGATATTTCTGGCAAATCAAGCATTGCTTTACATTATAGCTTAAATAAATACAAAAACACAGGACTTTGACTCTATCTAAAATGGTGTGGAAACTTTCCTTGTCTTACTCTGTGGAAGCCCTTGTCACCCAGGGGAACCTGAGGAATCGTGAAGAGGAGGAGGCTGAGATGTGTTTGAATAATTTTAGTCATACTCTAAAATTCCAGTGATACCTGGCAGTTCAACATTTCTATAACTTTACCTGATGTGAGATCACAATATGAGCCTGTGACTTTATGCTAGAAAAATACATACATTTAAAATGGGATTAAAATGGAGCTAACACCAGCAGTACATGTAGAGGTCATCTAGTCCAACAACCTGCTCAAAGCAGATCTGCATGGGAATTGAAATGAAATTATTATAACAACTGGAGTAGGTGGATGTCTAGGTCTTCTAAAAATCAGTTCCACAATTTTTTTTTTTTCCTGCAGAATAATAAGTCTTTGTAGAAAACATACTTTTCTGAATTGCATTAATATTTTGTATGCTTTTTTCCATTTCTGCAGCTCACAGTTGAAGAGGACACCACTGAAAAACAATCCAGATGAGGAACTTATACTTCCACAGACTCCTGTTCGGTATGAGTTTTGCTTTTAAGCTGTGTTCCTTTGTTTAATATCCTAACTAGAAATGTTCATCTTCAGTGCACTTGTTTTAATTTTAAAGCAACTGTTTTGTTTGTCATAGACCAGATTGTAGTTGTGGTGGTGAGCATGTACTGAGGGGTATGGTCAGTTCTGGGGAAGCTTGAGAACAGAAAAAGCTATTTACTGAGTTAAGTGCAAGGTGTCTGCAAAATAGATTCCTGTATTCATTCTTGTGAGAATACAACTTTATGCTTTCATGGTAGTAATTCTAAGGAAGGCAGGAGCCCCCACCCCCAGAATGGAAAATGTCACCCCTTCACTCTGAATTATTATAATTTTGAAATTAAAGCGCTTTCAGGCAAAGATATGAGGTATATATAACAGTTCTTTACTAATATATATATGTATATAAAACAA